GGCACAAGAAATGCGCGTTCGGACCCAGACTTGTGCGTTGCGGCTTAGGGGGTTTGGGGTTTAGGGTTTTGGGTTTAGGGGTTTGGGGTTTAGGGTTTAGGGTTTAGGGTTTAGGGTTTAGGGTTTAGAGTCTACTTGGAGGATCATGGGACTTGGTAAGTAGGGTTACAATTAGGGTTTAGGGTTTGGGGTTCTATACTTATAGCCCCAATTAAGGGACTTATAACCTTACTTACTAAGTCCCGTGATCCTCCAAGTAAGAGAAGGCAAGGAGGACACTTTTCATGAACCCCGCTTCGCCTTCATGTAGGGGCCTAAATGATTACCCATACTATTTTGGGGGGTTCCTTACTATAATTCGGTAGGTAGGGTTCGACCTACAGCTGTAGCTGCGGCCACCACCACTCTTCCCCGCCCAGCATCTCAGGGGGCTTCCGTAAACGTCATCACTTACTATAATTCCTGCAGAATGGCCCCCCAAATCATAATCTCATTCTTAAGGCCCCCGTATCAGGGGGCCTTAATAGAAGGATCCCAGCTTTACTCCTTCTTAGGGGCAGACCCTAAACCCTAAACCCTAAACCCTAAACCCTAAATGAGAGCCAAATGCATCAAGGCCCCACAAGTCGCAGGAAATCCTCCTGGGTTCCTGAGCATCGGTAAAGTGTCCTATACCTCGAAAGACGATTCTAGAACTTAGGGCTTTGGGCTTAGGGCTTCGGATTTAGGGTCAGAGATTGGGGTTTAGGGAAAGTCTATTCTAGGGCTTAGGGTTTTGGGCTCAGGGTTTGGGGTTTAGCGTTTGGGGTTTAGGGTTTGGGGTTTAGGGTTTAGGGTTTAGGGCTTGGGGCTTAGGGTTTAGAGGCCTATACTAGCACGGCAGAAGCTGTGGCTCCAGCTCATAAAGATGGACATGGCTCTCCGGAGCACACGAGAGGACGCACGAAAAGGTGCCGGAACCCCAAATGCTGAGCTCTGCAGTCTCGACTACATCTGAAAAAAGATGTCTCAAGAGCTTTAGGCAGTAAGCGCCAAAAAATATTGTGACGTTGCGGATTTTCTATGGGGTTCTGCCCTAAGCCCTCAACCAAATCTTCCGACACGTCCATGCCCCACCAATGGTCGGAGCTGAGTTGGCAAGCATGGGCCGGCAGCTACCGCAACAAGTCCGGGTTTAAGGGCTGTGGATACCGGGCGTAAGGCACAAGGTTTATGTTTTAGGATTAAAAGTTTAAGTGTAGGGTTTACGGTTTAGGACTTAGGGTTTAGAATTTGGATGTGTAGGATTTAGGGCTTAGGATTCAGGATTGCGGATTTAGGACACCCCAAAAGCTCAGTGCCAAGTTGTTAGGGTGCGCGGTTTGGGCTTTCAGATATACCCTCTTGGTACAGAGTCAAGGGCACTCTTCCAAAGCGAGTTTGTGACCTTGCTGTCATTACTGTGTTATCATTCGGTGATATTGCTGCTATGCCCAAGCTGCAGCCTTTCTGTCACAGCTGCCTTCATCCCATGCCTACGTTAATTCCTTGCTCCACTAAGGCTTTGGTATTGTGGGAGCTTGGGTTTAGGGTATGCGGGTTTTGGTGTTTCGGGACGCCTTGGGTGTGCGCTTTGGAGCAAGGCAAAGTTTTCGGGTTTTGTAGTACGGTAAAATCTAACATAAGCGCCCCCAACGGTTCCTGAAGCCACAAGCCTCTAAACACTCAGAACTTTAAATGAATCCCCCAAAACCACCAAATGCCATAAGCCTCTAAACACTCAGAACTTTAAATGAATCCCCCCAAAACCACAAAACGCACGACACTACCCTTCTCGTTTTATCTCCTCCCGCACAGCTCAGCCAGCCGGATCAGACCTCAAAGGGATGGGGTCTCCCCTGACCAACAAACCCTGAGCCCCAAAGAGCTCTAAACTTTCGGGTTTAGGGTTTAGGGTTTAGGGTTTAGGGTTGCCCCAAAGAGCCCTACACCCTAAACCCTAAACCCTAAACAAAGCAGTGACAAGCCTCCGAAATGCTGAGACCGCACTGATTCCACAATACAGCCTTCCGTGGTAAATCTCGAGAGCCCACGCAGCAAGTCTTGCCGGGGTTCAGGTCTTACGCTTTGGGGTCTTGGACTCAGGGCTCAGGGGTTTAGGAGCTCAAAACTTGGTGTCAGGGGGGGGGGGTGGTGGGGGGGATTCGCGCTTAGAGCTTGGGGTTTGGTGTTTACGAACGTATCGGTCAGAGTTTAGGTTTGGGGCCTTAGGATCAAGCCTCTCAATACCCAGCATCCCGAAAGCCAAAAAGCCCAAAGCCTAAACCCTTAAACCCCTAAACCCCTAAACCCTAATCGGCCCTAAACCAAAAAAAACCCTACGAGATCTACCGAACTCCGAAACTTCAAAGATCCAGGACTCCCCGGCTCCTCATTTCATAGGGGCGATAAGGGGCCAGTATTACTAGTTTTCACCGTGTGGTTTAGGCTTTAGGATTTCGGGTTTAGGGTTTCGGGCTCT